TAAAAACGTTTTTAGCTTGTCGATTACCAGAATACATGGTGCCAAATCATATCATACTGTTAGATCAATTGCCATTAAATCAAAATGGAAAAATTGATCGAAATGCATTGCTGCTCCAGAAGAATTTCTTCGAAGAGTATTCTTGTACTGTCAGCTGGATTGAGAAATGGCTGGTGTCTTTGTGGGCGGAGGTGTTAAAAATTTCGGTGGTAGGAATTGGAAAGGAAGCGAATTTTTTTGTGCTGGGTGGTCATTCTTTGCTGGCTTTGGTGGTGATTGCGAAGATACGGGTGGGATTGAATCTTGCTGTTAACGTCTCTGCTATCTTCGAATGCCCGACTCTTGGTGCACTAGCTGATAAACTTACTGAAAAGTGGTCTAATTGTTCATTGGCTAGTTCGTTGGTCTGTGTCCAGGATAAAGGTATAGGACCTGCGTTATTTCTGGTGCATTCGGCTATCGGGTTAGCGTTTGATTATGTGAAACTAGCTGGTTTGGTTGAGAGGCCGGTGTATGGGATTCATAATCCATATTTTGGTCTGATGGAAAGATTTAATTCTCTGGAAGACATGGCTGATGCGTATATCGACTTTATTCGTGAAGTACAACCTCATGGTCCTTATTGTCTAGGCGGCCATTCTTTCGGTGGCGTGGTGGCACTAGTAATGGCGGAGAAGTTGGTTACTTGTGATGAAGAAATTGAACAAGTAATTTTGTTTGATAGTATCTGTGTAAAAGATGGTACGCGGTCTTTTAATGATAGTGCTCGCTTTATTGCCGGAGAAACTTGGGTTCGAAATATCAAAGGTTTTTGCGTCGATCCTGAGTCATCGAATGTGGAAGTTCTCATTAAAGAGGTGAAACATGCAGAAAGACTTTTATCTCAATGTGCTTTGTTACCGTATTCAGGAGCCGTTAGTTTGTTGAAAGCACAAGAGGTGGGTAGAATGGAAGGGTTGTTGGGTTATCCTCTGGATATATGGAACGGCTGGCAGTCATTTCTTCCGCAATTAACGGTGTACAACGTAAGTGGTAATCATTGGGAAATGTTCGATGACGAAAATTTAGAAGAGGTGGTTAAACAGCTAAACAGAGCTTTGCGAGACCAGTTTCAATAAAATTTTGCTTTAAAGCTTAGTGTTTTTGACATTTTCTACAGTGCTCCACATGGCTGTTCAAGTAGAGTTCTATTCCACTCGTATATATTTATTAATCTTGTCTATTGTGTGGAAATCGTTTCAAGCCTTTTTGATCTATTCAGCAGGCGCTGTGGCAGGTAGATGCCATCTATTTGAAATTTTATTTACGGAAACGTTGGGTTAAGGCCGCCTTCCCGAGTCCGAAATGCTGATTTTCGTCACAAATATCGATTTTGAGAAAAGCACACTGTTCCATAGCCCAAAGTGTCTATTTTGTAATGGCATAATTTTTCTGTCAATAGGATAGGCTTTTTATAGGTTTTGAACGCGTTTTCCAGAAGCCCTATAGCAAAATAAATGGCTTCTTTGGACTTGTATTGATTACTTAAGCTTATTTATTATAAGCTATTGTTTATAAAAATGAGGATAACGAAGAAACCTTCCAAGGATTTTTCGGACTTAAGAGTTCTATTAAGCACCAGAAGTCAGTAAATGAAAAATTCAAAAATCGAGCTCTGTCATCTCCTAGACATAGGTGTTTACTGCAAAAAAACAACAACAGCCCGAGCTCTCCATCATTTACTTGGAATGAGAATTCTTGTGCGTCGTAGACGCTTACTTTTGGCGCTTGTGTAGCACCCTCTTACGAATAGTTGAAAGTGACGCCAAAAAAAATTTCATTACCATACTTTGACATGGTCAACATTCTCTGAAAGTTTGGTTCAGAACCTGGGCTAAGATAGGTTTCTGACCCGGGCGGCGGGGGTCTTAATCATGATTGAATAGGGTAAAATATAAAGAATTTGCACATTATTTTTTAATAAATTCATTATCATAATAACGATTAGAATAAGTAATCCTAATATGACAGTAGAGACGCACGTGTTATATATTCATACGGATACTTCTGTCGTACTATGCAGTTTTTCTAAAAGCGAACTGACGGAAATAACTCAAAATAGTCACCTCCACAAACAGATCCCGCTCAACTAAATATAAAATAATCGATTGTCATGCCCACAAACATGCAAATATCTACTGAATACGTACAAAAAGCTTGCATTTTTCAAATTTAACAAGATTGTAACAACAGGTGCGTTAAATTCATATTATTTCATTAAAAACTAAGAGCAAGTCGATGCGTTTCGAATCTCAATGTACACTTTAAATGAGTATGAAAAAAGAAACGAAAAGAGAGAGAAAGAAATTTACATTTTTTTAAGAAGGAACGAGAGCAATATACATGTTACCGAACCTTATTTTTAGAAAAGTAAGAAAATACTTTTAATGTACACTATAATTTGGAATTATTTTCTACTTTATAGAAAATCGGTCTCTGAGGATTTTCTAACTTGTATAAAAGCCTCAGCGCCCGTTTAGAAAATGATTTTCTACTTTATAGAAAATCCGCTCGATTTTCTATGAACTGATTTTTCTCATTTACCAGAAAATCAATAAGGAATTTCTAAAAAGTTGGAAAATCGACAGCTATTAGATTGATTTTCTATAAATAGTTTCTAACATTGTAGAAAATCGACTCGATTTTCTATAAATAAATCCCAACATTCTTATAATTCGACAGCGATTTTCTAAGAAAACGAATCGGTCATTTTTTTCTTGCTTCTTTCACATCTATCAAAACCTTCATTGCAACAAGCTATTCTGTAACAGACCTCTGCTCCTTTTAGTATCTAACATTGGAAATGTTAGTAGATTCGAAAAGTTCTCTCAGTTTTTGCAAATCTGCATATTCTTCGAGAAGTATTATTGTTGTATGACACTAGAGATCACAAAGAGATACTGAAAAGATGCCTGGGTTAAACCTGATTAAGACAAAGTCAAGCTCCACCGCAACTTTCTGAAGATCGCAAAGCGATTCGCTCTTGCTAATATTCCACATTTTTATATCGGAATTTAGCATCTTCCAAAAATATAGTTGGTTCTATTAAATCAAAAACATGATCCTAACAATTTACATTTATTTTCTTTATCTTATAAATAAAATAATAGTCATTCAACACGTGATCGATTTGTTTTTCATTATTAAAAGATTCATATTGTCATCCAATAAACTGAAATAATTCAACTCAATAAAACTCAACTTCGAAGTTCAATAGCTTTTGATTATGGCGAAAAACTTTATCTTCAGCTATTTTCACTTTGCAAGTCTCGGATTATCAGCATTCTAACTCAAATTGTTCTTCCCCATCATACAGAAAATCCTCATCGATTTTCTTAAACGTAGAAAATAATCCGCCTTTTTGAGTTTTGAAAAGTCCATATATAAATTCCCTAAGAATTTTCTAGACGGAAATTCGCTCAGGAAGAGAAACCGCAACTAACAACGACTGAATGCAGCAATTACTGAGTTCTTATTACCTAACTTCTCATGGTTTTAATATATTCCCTTGACTAAACGTCTAGAGTGATATGAAATAAATATCGCCGTCGGCGTCCGCATAACATAAAAATGCAATAACTACTATTGGCGCTAAAATACAAGAGCAGTGGTTGTTTCTTGAATAGCTTCGTCACCTTGATAGACAGAGACCTGCAGTTTTCAGTAATCGAAACTAGACACTTAAAGCTAACTTTTCATAAGCAAAAACCAGTTTTGAAAAGGCTTGGAAGACCGATTTGCTAACTCCAATCACTCTTTAAGTATTTTTTTTAAATTTGAACAGAGAAGAAAACTAAAAGCTTTTAGTCGATTTGATAGAGAAAATAATTCTGCGTCGAATGAAGCCAAAACCAAATGATTTCTATTCGAACACGCGCCAGTTCACATCAAGACCGAATTAATTTATTACGATGAAATTAAAAGCTCACAGTATCTTTCTTTGCCTTGTAGATGGAATATACCACAATGGTTATAGGAAATTTTTTAAAATTTTATTAGTTTTTTTTTCACATCATGGCTTCTGTTACTTCAGAAAAATATGTTCACTCAAAAAGATGCACTATGATTTGATAAAGATACTCACTACCCTATATAAATGTTAGGACATTATGTAAGTGAAATTAAATAAGACTCTACTTTACCATAAAAGACTGTTTTTCTGTATTTTTGATTAATTATAAAAATCTGAGACGAGTAAAATACATAGGCGGCGAAACCACTAGGCTGGGTAAGGCTCATGCGTTACTCGAATTCGGCTCAATTGGGCTGAGCTTTAACCCATTCTACTATTGGATACGGATATTTGCACATTTGTGTTTATGTTGGCTCACAATGGCTATTTTCTAGCTGAAGAATTCACTTTACTTAGCTGCGTATCAAGATGAGATTAGGTGTGGCTCAGCCTCAGCTTCAGACCTTTGAGTATTGCCATTAAGATTTTTATAAAAGTATCATCACTTATAATTTTTATAAAAACTTTTCTATTCAATATTAGGACTGTGTATTTTTTCAGAGTGAAAGAATCTTATAAAAAAATGACTAAGAAAGAACCTACGTACAGAGAATAAAATAGGCGGTAATCGTTGTAGGAAATGTAGTTGGTAACTAAACTAAATCCACCTCATTAGTTTCTTGCTTCTAGCATATGATAAAAAGGTTCCTACATAAAGTCTTTTGATATTTTTAGCTGCTATGAGCTTTTCGCTGACTTCGGCCGTGTATTTCTCATGCTTTTAAAGAAAAATGAGATTTATCATCAAGAAAACAGCTAAAAGAAACCGGTCAGAAACGCGTCAACGTCTGTTTGCCACCTTACAACGTGGAAAAAACGCTTCTAAATCATTTCCCGGCCGTTCACTATGATCGGATAAACTTGATTCCTAAAAGCTTAGTCTGAATTTTACATTATACCTTTTTCAATTTATGAAAGGGCTGAGACTGAGCCTCACCTAATGCTTTTTTCGAGTTATATACGCCGTTAATTTTACTAAAGACAACGTGTTTAAATTCTCACCTTTTTGAAAGTAAAGAGCACAAAAGGCGCCTTTTAGGCGGAGAAACTTTATTTCTTCTACTAGAAACCATTATCACATAGGCCTCTGCTTCATATTAATAACCAAAAATATGGGAAAAAATTAATTTCGCAGAGGAATGCCTTAAATTAAGCCTTATCTCATTTGAAATCGTTCCGCCGCCTCTAGTAAAATATATGTACACGTTTAGTCGGAACGAATTGATATTTTAATCTCTAATCTAACAGTCATGGCTTCTTTTGAACATTCAATCGAAGACTGTTCAATATCGCGCTTAACATAAACAACAACTTCTTGTGGGTTACGTGAGAAATCATTTCGATAACGCAAAAAACCCGGTGTACTTATTTCCTGCTTAGAAATCAAACTATCAACGAAGCTTTCTTGAATGCAAATAACGGAAGACCATTCTTTCAGAGAAAAGCTTATAATTCATCTGATTCTCCGAGATCTTTTATTTTCACCATCAACTTTATTCGAATTTACATTAGGTATGCACCGGTTTCGGTTTCAAAAAAGGAAAAACCGACACGAAAAAACCGATGCTCGATTTAAACCGACACCAAAAATTTCAAACATTTTATTTTAGGTTTTAAAATGATATAATGAGTTAGCACATTACATCGATTTGCTATGTCAAAGAACCATCTAATTTTATCTGTACCGGTTTCGGTGTACCAATAATCAAAAGACCCAAACCGCTAAAATCAGAAATGTCGGATATCTGTCAACAGCAAAATCTGCACTGATTTGAAAACAAACTCACATTATTACTGGCGTTGCCCATTACATTACAGTCTAGCAAAAGAGAGGAAAAAGCGTACACAGAAGAGCAAGATGGAAACTTAGGTCATATAAAATGCCGGTCTAACTTTTTGTTTTTGTATTTTCTCGCTTCCACTTTCAAAAAAGTTTCAAATTAAGTCATAAATAGAATATACCATACTCAGGTTCATGAATACGTCTGTCGTGTGGGTACTTCCTCGCCCACGTTCTACGAAACTTTTTGCCGACAAGAGCTAAGTATGCTAGTTTTGTAATTGGTA